CAGCTTGAAGACATTAGTTAGACTCAATGAAGCTTTTTAAAGGACTCCATTCACGATTAGATTAGATTTATTGTCCACGGGGGGAAACCATTTTCACAGGACTGTACATGTACACAATAAAAATACAATATATAAACACATTTGACAATATGGTACAGTAGTAAGAGAAGAGGGGGGGAAACGTACAGTCCAGTAATCTCTGTTTGCTCCTTTGGAAGATGTGTGTTGGTCGAAATGAAGTTTATTGTCCAGTGTTACTCCAAGGTATTTAAAGCTGTCGACTGTTTCAACTGTTTGGTTATTGTTGATAATGATGGGGATAAAGATTATCTCATGTGGAACAACTCAAGGAAATATATTCAATTAAATCCAATAAGAAGCAGACAACTCTGGAAACATCATATCGCTTTTCCTAAAAGACTGATTATTGTGGTATGAAAACATGTGTCCAATAACAAAAGGTGTAAGAAGTACTGAGACATTTGACTTAAAGTGGACCCATCATGCTATATTTGAATAATATAGTGTAGGACCATACCTATATAAGGCATATTTATACTTTTTATTTTTCAAAATACCAAACAGATCATGCATTTTAGCCATTCCTCATTTCACTCAATTTAACACTGTCTTTGCATGGCTGATTCTGTGAGAACAGCACCATCTACAGGCCTGGCATATGTACTACAGCGTCTCCAGCGCTTTTGAACGGCAATGTCCGTGGCTGTCTCCTCCTGATTGGTGGAGTTGGCCCAATAGCCGTAGCGCCACTTCTGTGACGTCATAGAAGTGTTCAAATCTGGATCAGTCTGTATCAGATCCGTTGCAGCCCCTTTTTAAGAGATTTGGGTATGGAGGAAAATAGAGAGGGTTGTGTTTTCTGACACTTGGTGAGTTCCCTGGAACACCGGGGACACATGTTCATGTAGAAAAGACGTACAAAAGTGCATTTTGCATGATAGGAATATCAGTATTACTGCTCTAGATCATGTTCTGATATAGATCTACTTGCATGGATATCCCTACTTTTGGAAGTTCTAGGCGTTGTTTTGTTTTCGCCGTTTCCTGTGAACGTCGTTAAGTGTAGTTCAAAATATGACACTTTTGAAAGTGACATCTATGTACTTGGCTGAGGTTTAATGATTAATAAACTGTCATGACCCTGTCAAAATGTCGTTTTTGACTTTTACAAACTTTACAGTTAGAACACTATAGCCGTTATGTCAGCATCTCCTCAAGTGTAAAGTACACTAAATAGATAGATATTGCCTTCATAGTAATAAAACGAATAATGAATGATTTTGATAGAACACTTAGTTTATTTTTCCAACTAAGATAATCGTATGATACCATTTCCTGTACTGAGGAACTCATAAGACTTATATCTGTGAGTAAATTAAATACACTCTCTTGTTATACATTTATTAAATAAGATTCTCCTCTTTGACAATGTTTAGGTTAAGGGTGTCCTCTATTTATTTTTTTTTAAGTCGACCACAAGGCTTTTTTTTTTTCAGCAGACCTCAGGTTTGTTAAACTTCTTAGACTCCGTTAATCACGAGGAAACTGTAGACTGTTTATGTCTCGACCCACGCACACTACAACTGTCCGTAATGTTAGCTTTGTCCACATTGACGATTTGAAACTCTTACTAATTGTGTTGCCGACTCTTTCACTAGGTTTGGACAACAAAATGCAATTATAACAGTCCTCCACGTTCGTGGACAGCAGAGGGTCGTACTGTCTCGTGGCAGCCATCTGTCCCCCACTCCGCCCCACCTCTCCCACCCTCTGGTCACACCGCCTCGGGCCACTGGCCGTCCGTGGGTCGGGCTGGCGTGTCGATGCCAGTCTGAGGTCTCTGTCTGGTCTCTCTCTCTGCTATTACTTCGGCTCTGTTTCTCCTGTGTTTGTGTGCGCCGACCAAGTCGCCGAGTCAGTCTGCAGACGTACCTGTGAGTCGTACTCCTTATAGTTATCATCTTCATACTTGTTCACCACTTTCGTTGACGTCAGTAAAGGAGCCATGTATTAACATTTTACTTTACTTCCCTTTAACTATGTTGAAATCGGAGAAGGTGGTTGTTGTCTCTGTTTATAACTGAAAGACGAGACGGCATACGCTGTCGAAGAATGAACCTCTAATAACAGTTATTATCTTTCCCTAGGATTTATCAGTCATCGCTGTAATTTCACTCAAAATGCCGAAAATAAAAAGTTGTGTATGTGTGTGTGGTGCCTGACTGTTCTTCTTATAGTCAGACGCCCGATGTTTGCGCCCGGCATATGATCGAATCAAT